TGTTGGGAAAATGGCACCAATAAATTTGCTTGATGCAGGGTTGCCACAAACCCTCAGTCTGTAAAAATGCAGAGTCTATGAAGCTCAGTACAAGGTGTGCCTGTGTTCTTAAGACACACACACAGAGCTGTACACATTTGGAGAAGGGCGCAAAGCTGTCTTTCCAGAGTTACGTAGTGATCCAGTTTTAAACAAATCTCAGTATGCTTCTGCTCCCCTGGTGGACCCTTCCCAGTGGTTCTTGGTCCCCAGGGTGACTGGAAGCCGATCTGCAGCTGTCCTGTTTGCCTTCACGGCTGACTTACCCTTTGCCTTCTTCCCAAGGCCTCTGTTTCCAGCCGTGCTGCCCTCACACTGTTATCTCCCAGGCCGAGGCCCACATCCTTGAGGGCAGTCTTGTGTCTGACGCATCACTGGATGCCCAGTTAGAGCCTCACATGAATCACTGTTCTCCCCCACGCTGCGCACAGGGTGCACGGGCAGTGAATGGAACGGCAGGTGCTGGCTCCGCGGCGCTGTGTCTGCAGCAAGAGGAGGGGTGCGTGGATGTTGCTGCTTCTCAGCAGATGTTTGCTTTCTGTGATGGTGCCAGGCTTTGTGCGGGGTCGGGGGGTCGGGTAGGTCAAAGATGGCTAAATTGGGGGCCTCTAGGGGCTCTGTCTAGATAGGGAGATAGACGTGTGAACAGGCAGTTAGCGGGGAGTGGGGTGAGGACGGGAGCCAGGGTCGTATGGCGTGTAGGGGAGCAGAGGAACGTGTGGCACTTGAGAGTGAGACGTGCTTTGGGCCGAGGAGGGGAAGGGTCCGTTGGCATTGCCTGGTCTGTCCTGTCGCTCTTGGCCAGGGACAGGAAGGAGCCTCCTGTGAAGGCTCTGACTTGCCTACTGCATCAGAGGAAATCAACAGTGGGGTGAGGTTAGTGGAGAACATTCATATTTTAACTTAAAAGCCTAGTCCTAAACTTCCCGCTGCTTTGGGATTTCTCTCTCTACTACTTTGCAGTTGTTCTAAGGATGCATGATGCACCTGTCTACAAAACTTGATAGAAGGAGGTGGAGGGTATAGCTCAGTGGCAGAATGCATGCCTAGCATGCATGAGGTCCTGGGTTCAATCCTCAGCACCTCCATTAAAATAATAAATAAACGTAATTGCCCCCCCCCGCCCACACCCCCACCCCTGTGGGAACTTGGAGAGACCAGGGACTGGTGTGTAAACACTTCCCACTTCAGTGCCTGGTTCAGAACTCATCTCATGGGCGCTTGGTCCACGCTGTTGATGGCCGCAAGCAAGTTGTGCAGTGCGTTAGCTGTGAATTGTCAGGGGAAGTTGTTCCTCCCTCCCTGGGTCCTTTGACTGGGCCACGTAATGAGAAGCGGCCTCTAGATGAGCTGATAACCCCTCACATCTGTTGCACATTTGACAGAGTGCTTTTGTATCTGTTTCCTCCTCCAGTTTGTCCCGGCGTGCCTGGAAGGCAGATGCAATCATCCCCATTCTCACAGAGGAGGACATGAGCTGAGATGGACTAAGGCTTAGTGAGGCCACGTAATTAGTCCGCAGCAGAGTTAGGACAGCAGCCAGGCCTGGGACTGCACTGCTTGTCCAGTCCCGAGTGGACTGTTTCCACTGGACCCACGATAACCTCTCGGGGGCACATTCCTGCCTTGGGCCACATTGACCAGGCCTCGGAAAGGCCTTACCCTAGAGTTCTTGGCATTGGCCTGTTTTCTTAAAATATTCAGTGTTCCAGACATTCCATAGCACCTGTTAGACATATAACCTGAATTTGGTTGTATCACAGGGCGTTCAGGACACACTGAGTAGCTGTCATCACTAGAAACCTTGGAGAAGTTTTTACCTCTGGTGCGCTGCTGGATTCTCTACCAAGGAAACCATGCGCATGTGCTCGGCACCCTCTATGATGGGATAATCAGCAACTTATACATTGTAGCAAATTGGGGGCTAGGAGAAGTCATAGAAGGCTACTGTGGTTTTTATTTTTAACTCCAGCATTTGTCCCCTAAGATTTACAGAATGTCAGCATCACTCTGCGCATCCTCTTCTGGCCGGTTGACAGCCAGCTTCCCCGCATCTTCACTAGCATCGGAGAGGACTATGACGAGCGTGTGCTGCCGTCCATCACGACAGAGATCCTCAAGTCCGTGGTGGTGAGTGAACAGGGCCTCCAGGAGACCGCTGGGTGGCAGGAAGAGCTCGGCGGTGGGTGGTTGGGAGAGGGCTGGGATTCCGCATCCTTGTTATCCTGACTGGCTCCTCTGCCCTCCTCTGGAATTAGGCTCGCTTTGATGCTGGAGAACTGATCACCCAGAGAGAGCTGGTCTCCAGACAGGTGAGCGATGACCTCACAGAGCGAGCAGCAACCTTTGGGCTCATCCTGGATGACGTGTCCCTGGTAAGAGCCACGGGGAGCCTGTGGAGAGGGGCAGCAGCTGTGTAGGTGCCTGGCTCCACTTCCGGGCAGACACATCCATTCCTAGACGTGAGGCTTGTAAACATCAAACCTTCTTGACAGTATGAAACAGTCTCTTTGGGTTTGTTTTCAGATGGGGGTTTTTACCTCCCCTGTGCCACAGACATTTTTCTTCTGATTTTTTTGGCCCTACCCGGGTGGTTCGTAACCAATAGATTTTTCACCTTCCGCAAACTGTTTCCCAGAGCTCCCTGGGAAGTGACGTCTTGTTAACCCCGTTGGACGCAGGCAGACACTGCCTGGTAGAGACTAGAGCACAGCGTGGGTAGGCTTTCTCCCTCGCACAGACCTCCCAGCCTGAGCCCTGGGAATCTCCTGACACCTGGGGTCTGAAGCTCAGTGAAGCGAGCTCTGGGAGCTCCCCAGGAAAGGTGACAGAGTGTGAGTGAATGGTTCTGTTCCCCGAAGCCTGGTGCAGAGGGAGGGCAGGGACGTCTCCGAGGCATAAGCTATCCTCTCGAGACTGGTGTGTGTGTGTGTACGACACCGGATGCCATGATGCAGGCAGCAAGCGGTGCAGGCAGGGTAGCGCTTCAGAGTGAGGAAGGTGAAGGGAAGGGGTCGTGTTTCTGATTCTCCGGGAAAAGTCATTTGGAGTGATTTGTTCGGGTGGTGAGGAAGGTGCTTCCTGTTCAGTTCTGTGCATTGCCCGGGAAAGGCACTGTTTCCCGCTCCGCATCTGTGCAGCTGTTTAAACAGTCCCCGGCACCCAGCTCTAACCCGGGATCCTGCTCCACCCTTGCAGCAACTGCCCGCCCGCAGCGAAGGGCTTGTGGGCTCCCTCTACTGGCGAGACGCCAGGCTGCAGCCACTTGGCTCCTGACCAGAGCCGTTCCTCAGGCTCTCCTGCTTAGTGTTCACCTGAACTCCTCGGCTGTGAGAAGAGGCTAAGTAAAACCTAAGGAGAAGCGTGGCATTTTGCTAGACTTTAACCACATGCTCCATTCCGGGGAAATGCGGGCTGACCACAAGAAACCGTATCTGAGAGGTGTGAGAAGAAAGTTAGATTTTTGTGGGGAATTTGCTGCCCTCAGCTGGCCCTTTTAGAAAGAAATTTTATTCCTTAATTACACATTTCATTCTCATTTCTCAGGATTGTATATTCTTCCCCCAAATTCGAACCAGGGTCCAGAAAGGGAGCAGGCAGAGAAGGAAACTGCAGTCTAAGAGTTAGGAGTGTTACAAATTCTGGGAGACAGTGGACTGGGACTTACTCTGGGAGAAGTTTGGGCTCCTCATATGTTTTAAAAAAGCATATTGGGAGATTGGGAGGATGGGGGAAGAAATGAAACAAGTAGAATTTGATAGCAAAACCAATGCTGTTCACTCCTTTCTTTCTTCCTTCTTAATAAAAAGCTAGATGAATAAATTACCCTAGACAAGGCATTGGGGTGCTGAGATCTGCTCTCATTGTTTGCGTTGTCACTATAGATGGTCACTTCGGTGAGGTCTCCGTCACTCACTTTATTAGGGAAGGTGTATGCATAACAGAATTTTAAAACTTCATCCTAAGCAATAGCTTTACCTGCCTTCCCTTTCTTTTAAACTCTTTACCAGAAGCACTCACACATAGGGAATAGCATGATTTGCAAGATCATGGTTTGGAAATCTCTCTCGTCCTCTTCCTGTTTTGTGGCGGAGGTGCTGTGAGAAAGAAGTGGACTGGTTAATCCATAAGCAGAGAGCATCACGCTCTTGAATCCCTGAGAACCAGCTGCACCCCTCACTCTCAGGCTCAGTTTTCCATCTGACCT